ACTGGGAAGGGACTGGGGGCACTGGGAAGTACTGTGAGGGGGTTGGGAGGGACTGAGGGTGGCCGCTGAGAAGGGACTGGGAGAAATTAGGAGGGACTGGGAGAGGACTGGGAGGGGCTGGGAGGGAACTGGGAGAGACTGGGAGGCACTGGGGACAGAGCGGGACACTGGGAGGGTGCTGGGAGGGACTGGGGGCACTGGGAAGAGACTGGGGAGACCTGGGAGGAATTGGGAGGGACTGGGAGGGAACTGGGAGAGGCTGGGAGGGGACTGGGAGGGACTGGAAGGAATTGGGAGAATTGGGAGGGGTCTGGGAGAGACTGGGAGGGGACTGGCAAGAACTGGGAAGAACTGAGGGGGTGCACTGGGAGCTGTTGGGGGGGTCAGAGGGGTCGCTGGTGTGAACTGGGGTCCCTGGTGTGAACTGGGGTCGCTGGTGTGAACTGGGGTCGCTGGTGTGAACTGGGGTCACTGGTGTGAACTGGGGTCGCTGGTGTGAACCGGGGTCGCTGGTGTGAACTGGGGTCGCTGGTGTGAACTGGGGTCCCTGGTGTGAACTGGGGTCACTGGTGTGGGTCCCGCAGGCGAACGGGGACGTGACGGTGTCGGTGCCCGACAGTTTCTACGTGGGGGGTGAGCACCTGAGGGCTCCTGGGGCAGTTCTGGGGGTCCTGGGGGAATTCTGGGGCAGTTCTGGGGGAATTCTGGGGCAGTTTTGGGGGTCCTGGGGGAATGTCCCTCCCAGTTCCCCCAGCTGACCCCAGTGTTCCCAGTTCACCCCCCAGTCCCTTCCAGTTCCCCCAGTTCACCCCCCAGTCCCTCCCAGTTCCCCCAGCTGACCCCAGTGTTCCCAGTTCGCTCTCAACGCGGGTTTGCGGTTCCTGACTCCTGAGGAGCAGTTCCTGGGCTGGGCCCCAGCGCCCTTTAACCTCCCAGCCTTCGACCCCGTGAGTGACCCCCGAGCCCAGAAATGACCAGTGACCCCAGAAATGACCACTGAGCCTGTCCCCAATGCTGACCTTTGACCTTTGTCCCCAGCGTGACCTGGACAAAGCCCCCCAGCAGCTCCCCGAGGCTGAACTGGTGTCGGACGGGCCCGAGGTGCTGCTGACCGTCGGCTTCCCTGGGGGTAAGTGACCGCTGGGCTGACCGCTGCCGTGGCTGCTGAGCCAGCCCTGCTTCCCGTCCCTGAGGGGAGAAAAGAGAGAGGAAAAAGGGAGGAAAAATGGCGAGAAACGTGAGGGGAAAAAGGGCGGGAAACGTGAGGGGAGGGAAAATGGCGGGAAGCGTGAGGGGAGGGAAAATGGCGGAAATGGCGGGAAGCGCGAGGGGAGAAAAGAGCGGGAAACGTGAGGGGAGAAAAGAGCGGGAAACGTGAGGGGAGAAAAGAGCGGGAAACGTGAGGGGAGAAAAGAGCGGGAAATGTGAGGGGAGAAAAGAGCGGGAAACGTGAGGGGAGAAAAGGGCGGGAAATGTGAGGAGAGGGAAAAAGGCAGGAAGCGTGAGGGGAGAAAAGAGTGGGAAGCGTGAGGGGAGAAAAGAGAGTGGGAACCGTGAGGGGAGGGAAAATGGCTAGAAGCATGAGGGGAGAAAAGAGCAGGAAATGTGAGGGGAGAAATGAGCGGGAAACGTGAGGGGAGGGAAAATGGCGGGAAGCGCGAGGGGAGAAGAGAGCAGAAAGTGTGAGGGGAGAAAAGAGCGGGAAACGTGAGGGGAAAAAGGGCGGGAAACGTGAGGGGAGGGAAAATGGCGGGAAGCGTGAGGGGAGAAAAGAGCGGGAAACGTGAAGGGAGAAAAGGGCAGAAAACTTGAGGGGAAAAAGGACGGGAAATGTGAGGGGGAAAAGTGGGAAACATGAGGGGAAAAGAACAGGAAATAAGAGGGGAAAAGTGGGAAACGGGGGGAAAAGGGCAGGAAACATGAAGGGAGGGAAAATGGTGGGAAGCGTGAGGGGAGAAAAGGGGGAAACGTGAGGGGAGGGAAAATGGCGGGAAGAGTGAGGGGAGAAAAGAGCGGGAAACGTGAGGGGAAAAAGAGCAGGAAACAGGAGGGGAAAAAAGAGCAGGAAGCGTGAGGGGAGAAAGGGCGGGAAACGCAAGGGGAGGGAAAATGGCGGGAAGTGTGAGGGGAGAAAAGAGTGGCAAGTGTGAGGAGAAAAAGGATGGGAAATGTGAGGGGAAAAAGCAGGAAACATGAGGGGAAAAAGAGTAGGAAACATGAAGGGAGAAAAGGGCAGAAAACTTGAGGAGAAAAAGGACGGGAAATGTGATGGGAAAAAGCAGGAAACGAGGGAAAAAAGAGTGGGAAACGGGGGGGAAAAGGGCAAAAAACATGAGGGGAAGAAAGGGTGGAAAACATGAGAGGAAAATTGCAGGAAATGTGAGGGGAGAAAAGGGGGGAAACGTGAGGGAAGAAAAGGGTGGGAAATGTGAGAGGGGAAAATGGCAGGACTCGTGAGGGGAAAAAGAACGGGAAACATGAGGGGAAAATAGTGGGAAGCGTGAGGAGGGGAAAAGGGCATGAAACATGAGTGGGGGGGAAAAAAGGGTTGTAAACTGTGGAAAACCGTGGGAAATGTGAGAGGAAAAAGGGAAACTTTTCCCCTCAGCCGGCAAATCCACTTTCGTGAAGCGGCACCTGGTCCCGGCAGGATACGAATACGTGAACAGGGTGAGTTCCCGAGCCCCGTGGGACCTCTGGGCTCATGGCCGCTCTGTGTCCCTGCCTGCTGAGCCACCCTGGCCCGGTGTGAGCTCTGTGGCACCCCGGTCACCCCCAGGACACGCTGGGCTCGTGGCAACGCTGCGTCTCCGCCTGCTCGGCCGCCCTGGCTCGCGGCCGCCCCGTTGTTGTGGACAACACCAACCCTGACCCCGAATCGCGGCAAAGGCCAGTCTGGGAACTGGGAGGGCACTGGGAGGGCACTGGGAACCGCTCCCCCCCAGCCCTTGGACCCCTTTTCTGGGGTTTTGGGGACCCCCTGACCCGCCCTGCTCCCCCAGGTTCGTGTCCTGTGCCCAGGAGGCCGCGGTGCCATGTCGGTGCCTCCAGTTCACGGCGAGCCTGGAGCAGGCGCGGCACAACTGCAGGGTGAGGAGGGGGCTGAGGGGGTCATGATCCTCCTCCTGAGGGGTGAGGCTGAACCCTCAGCACATCTGAACCCTTTCCTTTGGGTTTTCACCCCAAAAAGTTCCGGGATATGACGCAGACCGGCCACGTCCCCGTCACTGACGCTGTTCTGTTCAGCTACAAGTGAGAGGGGATTGGGTCTGGGGGGGCCCAGGGGGAATTTTGGGGGATCTGAGTTGTTTTGGGGAATCCTTGGGAAGGATCTAAAGGGGCTTGGAGGGGATTTTGGGGGATCTGAGAGGAATCTTGAGGCATTTGAGATGTTTTGGGAGCTCTGTAGGGATGGTTTAGAGGCTTTGGGGGAGTTGGGGGAATTTGGGGCTGGTTTGGGGTTTTTGCCCTTTCTCCATTATTTAGCTCCATTACTTTTTCTTTGTTCTGTTTTCCATGTTTTTGCCTCTTTCCCAGTTTTGGGGGCTTTTCCCTGTTCTATTCTCTGCCTCATTTTGGGTGGGCTTTTGCCTTTTGCTCCCCTCCTTTCTCCTCACTTGGGTGGGTTTATCCCATTTTTGCTGGGTTTTCCCCCATCTGGAGCCATTTTTCCTCCCACTTTACCCAAATCTGGGTGATTTTCCCCCCATTTCCTCCCCCTCAGGAAACAATTTGTGGCCCCCGACCTCTCCGAAGGCTTCTCCCAAATCCTCCAGATCCCCTTTGTGCCCCATTTTGGGGACCCCCCAGACCCCCAACGGAGGCGCCTCTTCTTCCAGTTCAGCGATGGATGAAGACCCCCACTGAACCCCCAAATAAAGGCACTGCCCCTCCCCCCATTTTTGGGAGATTTTGGGCTCCAAATCAGATTTATTGTACAAAGGGGGGGAGGGGTGAGTGGGGGAGGGGCACTGGGGGGGTCACGGTGTTTCCATGGATTCACCCTCTGTGGAGAGAAGGGGAGAGGGGCTGAGTCAGGAACCCCCCAGCATCCCCAAGTCCCCCCCAGTTTACTCTTTTGCCCACATCTTTTAATTTTTATCTACTTTCTTCAAGTTTTACCATCCCATTTTCAATTATTTTTGCCCCAATTCTTTCATTTTTACATAATTTTACCATTTTTTTACCTGATTTTCCCAATTTTTACCTAATTTCTTCCACTTTCACCCCTTTGCCCCCAACTTTGACCCCATTTTTTTCCTATTTACCCAATTCTTGGCCAATTCCTCCCCTTACTTTTGCCCAGTTTTCTCCTCTTCCTCCAATTTCTTCATTTTGCACTCCATTTCTCCTGATTTTATAATCCATTCTTACTCAGCTTCCCCTATGTTTGCCCCAGCTCCTTATTTTTCATCTTATTTCTCTCTAGTTTCATCATTTTTTACCTAATTTCTCACGTTTCACCCCATTTGGCACATTTTTTCCTCTACTTCTTCTATTTTTTGCCAAACTCCATCCATTTTTTCCCCCTGCTGCGTTGCCCATTTCCCTTCTTTTTCCTTCATCCCTTCCACTTCATTTCCACCTCATCCCTCCCAATTCATTTCCGCTCCCCACCCCGCCATTTTTAGCCGTTTACCCCGATTTTCTCCCACTTTTACCCCTCCCTGCCCGCCCTCCGTGTTGCCCTACGTTACCCACCCTGCTTTGGAGACCCCCGGGTGTCCCCCCCCGCTGTCCCCCCGTGTCCCTCGGTGCTCACGGAGCTCGTTGAACAGGAAGGCCTCCTGGTACTCCCTCATGTACTGCGTGGAGCGCGACTCGTCCAGGAACAGCGAATACACGCGCTTGATGTCCTCCACCCCCACCTCCGTGCCCTGCCAGCCACACACATCAACCCAAAAATATTGCACTTGGCGTTTCCCGCTCTCTTTTCCTGCTTTTCACTCTTTCTCCCCTCACGCTTCCCCCTCTTTTCTCCCCTCACGTTTCACCCTCATGCTTCCCTCCCTTTTCTCTCCTCAACGCTTCCCTCCCCCTTCCCCCCCATCACGTTTCCCGCAAAATTTTTCACCTCAGGTTTCCCACTCTCTTTTCTTGTTTTTAACTCTTGCCTCCTGACATTTCCTGCCCTTTCTCCCCTCACGTTTCTCTCCCTTTTCTCCCCTCACGTTTCCCACAAATACTTCACCTCACATTTCCCATTCTCTTTTCTTGTTTTTCGCTCTTTTGCCTCGTCCCGTTTCCCGCCCTTTCTCCCCTCATGTTTCACACCCTTTTCTCCCCTCACATTTCCTGCAAATATTTCACCAACTTCCCATTCTCTTCTTTTCACTCTCTTGCCTCCTCACATTTCCTGCCCTTTTTCCCCTCGTGTTTCCTACTCTTTTTCTCCTCATGTTTCCCACTCTTTTCTCCCCTCACGTTTCACCCTCACGCTTCCCTCCCTTTTCTCCCCTCACGTTTCCCACAAATATTTCACTTCACATTTCCCACTCTCTTTTCTTGTTTTTCACTCTTTTGCCTCGTCACATTTCCTGCCCTTTCTCCCCTCATGTTTCACACCCTTTTCTCCCCTCACGCAAATATTTCGCCTCACGTTTCCCATTCTCTTCTTGTTTTTCACTCTCTTGCCTCCTCACATTTCCTGCCCTTTCTCCCCTCATGTTTCGCACCCTTTTCTCCCCTCACATTTCCCGCTCTTTTCTCCCCTCACGTTTCCCACCGTTTTCTCCCCTCACATTTCCTGCAAATATTTCACCTACTTCCCACTCTCTTCTTGTTTTTCACTCATTTGCCTCCTCACGTTTCCTGCCCTTTGCCCCCTGATATTTCCTCCTCTTTTTCCCCTCACGTTTCCCGCAAATATTTCACCTCCTTCCCACTCTCTTCTTGTTTTTCACTGATTTGCCTCCTCACGTTTCCTGCCCTTTGCCCCCTGATATTTCCTCCTCTTTTTCCCCTCACGTTTCCCGCAAATATTTCACCTCCTTCCCACTCTCTTCTTGTTTTTCACTGATTTGCCTCCTCACGTTTCCTGCCCTTTGCCCCCTGATATTTCCTCCTCTTTTTCCCCTCACGTTTCCCGCAAATATTTCACCTCACGTTTCCCATTCTCTTCTTGTTTTTCACTCTCTTGCCTCCTCACATTTCCTGCCCTTTCTCCCCTCATGTTTGGCACCCTTTTCTCCCCTCACATTTCCTGCAAATATTTCACCTACTTCCCACTCTTTTCTTGTTTTTCACTATTTTGCCTCCTCACATTTCCTGCCCTTTTTCCCCTCATGTTTCCTCTTTTTCTCCTCAAGTTTCCCACTCTTTTCTCCCCTCACATTTCACTCTCACGCTTCCCTCCCTTGTCTCCCCTCACGTTTCCCATTCTTTTCTCCCCTCACGCTTCACCCTCACGCTTCCCTCCCTTGTCTCCCCTCACGTTTCCTGCAAATATTTCACTTCACGTTTCCCACTCTTCTTGTTTTTCACTCTTTTGCCTCCTCACGTTTCCTGCCCTTTTCCCCCTGATATTTCCTACTCTTCTTCCCCTCACGTTTCCCACTCTTTTCTCCCCTCACGTTTCACTCTCACGCTTCCACCCCTTTTCTCCCCTCATGTTTCCCGCAAATATTTCATCTCACGTTTCCCACTCTCTTTTTCTGTTTTTCACTCTCTTGCCTCCTCACATTTCCTGCCCTTTCTCCCCTCATGTTTCGCACCCTTTTCTCCCATTTCTTGCCTTTTTTCCTCCCTCATGTTTCCCGCCCTTCTCCCCCCTCATGTTTCCCACAAATATTTCACCTATTTCCCAATCTTTTCTTGTTTTTCACTCTTTTGCCTCCTCGTATTTCCAGCCCTTTTCTCCCCTCACATTTCCCGCCGTTTTCTCCCCTCACGTTTCCCGCTCTCTTTTTCTGTTTTTCACTCTTTTGCCTCCTCACATCTCCTGCCCTTTTCCCCCTCACATTTCCCACCCTTTTCTCCTATTTCTTGCCTTTTTTCCTCCCTCGTGTTTTCCCGCCCTTTTCCCCCTCACGTTTCCCACCCTTTTCCCCCTCACATTTCCCGCTCTTTCCCCGCTCACATTTCCCACCCTTTTCCCAAAGCTCATATGTGACCCCAAACCATCAGGACCACCCCAAATCCACCCTTTGTCACCACAAACCTCCCCCAGAGCCCCCCAAACCTCCCTCAGCACCCCATGTCCAGGCCCCACAGCGCTGCCCCCATCATTTGGGGTCCCACCCCCTGTCCTGACCCCAGTTTTGGGACACCATTCCCCAAATTTTGGGGTGTCTCTGGGCTTTGGCCCACCTTGCGTTTCCTGGCCACCAGGCTGGCGGCGGTGATGAGCTGTATGGCGTAGCGCAGCGACGTCTCCAGCCCGATGCGCGTCAGCACCGCGTACGCGTCCTCCGTCATCTCCACGTCCTCCTCCTCGCACCTGCAGCCCCAAACCAGTCAGGGGGACCCCAAAATGGCCGCGGGATCCCCAAAAAAGGGGCAGGGGGCCTCCACAAGAGGCCCTGGGGCACCCCAGTGGGGTTATGGGGTACCCAGGGGGGCAGATGAGGACCCAGGTGGGCAACTGGGGGGTCCTTAAGGGGTTGGGGGCACCCTGTGGGGATTAGGGGTGGCCCAGAGGGGATTTTGGGGTGTCTGGGGGCACTCTGAGGGAGTTAAGGGGCACCCCAAGAGTGCTCAGGGCCTCTGGAGAGAGTTATGGGGTACCCCAGAAGGCTTTTGGGGTGTCAAGGATTTTGGGGGTACCCTGAAGAGCAGCCCAGGTGTGTTGAGGGACACCAGCCATGTTTGAGGTTCGGGGTGTTTGGGGTGTCCAGGGTGGCTTTCAGGGTTCAGCTTGATTTTGGGGGTGTCAGAGATGGTTTTTGGAGGTCCCCACCCCTATTTTGAGAACTTTCTGGGTCTCTTTTCCCCCGTAAAAGACCACGATGATGATTTTTGGGGTGCCCAGGTGTGTCAGGGCGTGGTTTGGGCTGCGTCAAGGAGGATTTCGGGGTGTCCCACCGGATTTTGAGGATCTGCCGCGTCTCCTTGTCGCCGTACGGGGCCGTGGCGATGATCAGCAGCCGGTCCAGCAGGTCCAGCGGGAGCCCGTGGGGGCTGCGGTGGGTAGTGCCTCGGATCCTGAGGGACACGTGGACGTGAGGGGGGTTCACCTGAGGTTTGGGGGTGCCCAGGTGTGCCCAGGTGTGCTCAGGTACCTGGTGATGCCGCGGTTCGTGGCCATGATCAGCACGGGCGCCATGTCGCTCTCCAGGGCCCGGTTGAGGAACGAGAAGCTCTCGATGTCCAACATGTGAACCTCGTCGATGAACAGCACCTGGGCGGTTTTGGGGGGCTCTTGATGATCCTCGAGGGGGTTTTGGGGGGTCCTGGGGGGCTCTTGAGGGGGTTTGGGGGGTCTGGGCTTACCCCAGGGATGACCTCGGCCTTGCCCTCCTCGCGCCACTCGGCCACTTTGGCGTTGATCTGCTCCCGCACCTCCGGCTTGATCTCACCTGTGTCACCTGGATTTGGGGTTTGGGGGAGTCAGGAGCAGTTTTGGGGTTCCCAGGTGCAGTTTTGGGGTCTGAGAGTACCCAAAAAGAGGGCTCAGACCCCCTGGGGTGTGTCAGGTGCACTATGGAGGCCCCAGGAGCAGTTCTGGGAGCCTGGGGATGGCCAAGGAGAGAGCGAGGGAGCCCTGGGCTGAGTGAGGGACAGTTTGGGGTTTTGGGGTCAGTTTTGGGGTTTGGGGGTACCTGAGAACAAGCCCTAGGCTGGATGAGGAGCAGTTTTGGGGTCAGTTTTGGGGTACCTGAGAACAGGGCAAGGAAGCCCTGCGCTGAGTGAGGAGAAGTTTGGGGTTTTGGGGTCTGGGGGTACCCGAGAACAAGGCCTGGGCTGGGTG